GAGCTGGGGCGAGTTGTGTTGCTCTGTAACCTAGCCAGGTGGGGGTGTGAGGCCTGGGAGAGCTCGACAGGGAATAAGACAGTGTTGGACAGTTGTAGAGAGTTTTGTTTGGAAGTCTAGAGGTTCTGAGCATTCGAACAGAGGTGAGTGGTCATTCATAGTTTTTTAACCTCTCCTTTAATTCTCTTGAATTTCGTCAATAGTTCTCAAAACAAAAATGGTCGTCAATGGTGGTCTTACAAATGATTTGTGATTCTGACTCCTAGCAACTCATTTTAGGAGGCTCCATTGCTGTTATACTCAGTGAGCTGCGGCTGTCCGATGCCAGAACGACGCTGCCTGGTACTGGGGTGTTGCCCTGTAACCTGCTGATGCAGGAGTGTGAGGCCTGGTAGAGAGATCTGGGAATGCTTTGGGGTGGGCATTCCGGGGGACAACCAAGGGTTACTGCTGGGATGACGCTGGTCGGAGCTGGGGCGAGTCGTGTTGCCCTGTAACCCAACGGGGTGGGGGTATGAGGCCTGGAAGAGCCCGGCAGGGAGTAAGACAGTGTTGGAAGAATTTTAGAAGGGATTGCTAGGGATTCTGAGGGTTTTGAGCATTTGTAGGACCTTTGTGGTGGCAATCTTTTCCAAAAAAGTTCAGAATTTTCTTATTGTCCCTTCGTGCAGCTTAGAAGGAAACTTCTCATTTTTTTTTCTCCTCATATTCTTTCAGATTTTTTCAGACCTTTTCTGAATTTTAGCCTATCTCATGGGGTTCTTCATCGAATAGGCGAGTAATTGATCATGATCCTATTTTCAGACAAAACCGGGTAAGAGTCCCAGTATCTCAAAGTTTTTCTGTATATGTTCTCAAACATGTTTCATGTTTCAAATGGGACGCTGGGCGCAGTTCCCAGCACGTGCGGCTCCCCACGAATAGATTGGAGCATTTTTCCCCAAAAAAAAAAAAAAAAAAAAAAAAAAGGTCGGATAGTTGCTGAAGATACATTCCGAACTCGTCGTCGAGGAAGACCTCAAAGACAATATAAGGTAAGGTTCGCTTATCAGGAACCCAGCAAAGACCGCTGGAGGAAGACCTCAAAGACAATATAAGGTACAATATAAGGTAAGGTTCGCTTATCAGGAACCCAGCAAAGACCGCTGGTTCCCCAGGGAAGAACTGATACAAAAAGCCCCTCACATTGTCTCCTAATATGAGAGGGATAGGTGGGGGTTAAAAATACGACAAGTAAAAATGGGATTTTTCTCGGAGGACCTCGAAATTAGGCTGGCGGGAGTGAAAGGATTCACGCTGCAGACACCCTGTCCAACTCCGAGGGCCCCGACGCGTTCCAAGTCCAGGGCCATCCTGTGGGGTAGGCCGCAGGGCCTAGAGGCCGAAGCGTCGGTACCGCAAAGTCTTAGGTCGGTAGAAGTCCACCCGGTACCCGGCAAGAAAAGTCCAGAAGCGTCCAGTCCAGGTCGACAGTCACAAGTCCAATTGGCAGCATGTCCCAGGAAAGTCCGGGAGCTACCGGACCGACAATATGTATGCAGCAGAAAGGCCACGACCGACCGGTACCAGTCCGGAGCAGGCCAAGCCAAGCGGAGCCAAGTCCTATATATAGCTGGTACAGTGCAGCAGCTCATCACTTGTTCAGTTGCGAGATGCGAAAGCACTGCTGCTGCTTGTGCTTCAGGGCAACTTGGGCACTGTGCGCCTGAAGAAGAAGAAGGTGTTTGAGAGAGACTCTATAGATAGGCTAGCGGTAGAGCAGGAGGACGACATCCACAGCCGAGAAGGTGTAAGCTACCTGAGTGCGTGCATCCAGGGTAACGATCTAGG